GCCCCAAAGCTATCCCATTCATTTTTCAGCTTGGATTCCTAGATCATGTGGATAATGCACATTAAAACATTGCAACCAGGGACTTCTCTGGTGGCACAGTGGCTAAGAATCCTCCTGCCAATGCAAGGGACATGGGTTTGAGCCCTGGTCTGGGAAGATCCCACATGCTGCGGAGCGACTAAGCCCGTGCACCACAACTACTGAGCCTGTGCTCTAGAGCCCGTGAGCCACAACTACTGAGCCCACGTGCCACAACTAATGAAGCCTGCGTGCCTAGAGGCCATGCTCAGCAACAAGAGAAGCCACCAGCCCCTGCTTGCTGCAACTAGAGAAAGCTCGTGTGCAGTAACGAAGACCCAACACAGCCAAATATAAAAAGATAAATTATTTAAAAAACCCAACACATTGCAACTGAACTGCACAGGGCAGAAGGGTTCCATTTTTTCATATATATATGTGTATATATATATATGTGTGTGTGCGTGTATATTTACATATTTTTATTTATTTATTCATTCATTCATTCAGGCTGCACCAGGTCTTAGTTGTGACACACGGGCTCTTTGTTGTGGCATGTGGGATCTTTTAGTTGCGGCATACGGGATCTTTTTTTTTAGTTGCGTCATGAGGACTTCTTAGTTGCAGCATGCATGCAGGATCTAGTTTCCCTGACCAGGGATCGAACCTAGGCACCCCCTGCATTGGGAGTGTGAAGTCTTACCCACTGGACCACCATGGAAGTCCCAGGAGGGTTCTATTTTTCAGGGGAGATTTTTTTTTAACTCAGAACTTAGGCAGAAACAAACAAGCTTCCTTTTGTATTTCTTTGTGGGTACAATCCCACTTTAATGTAGGGGTCTAGCTCCAGAAATCAGAGAGCCCAAGACTTTCCTCCTATCCCCAGATGAGAAATAAAATCCAAGTGCCTATACAGGTTATTGTCACTTACCTCAATCATTGTACTGAAAATGTTCCCAAAGGTCATGAAAGACCTTTATATTGCCAGATTAAGTGGCATTTTAAATCTTTACACCCCTTGACATTTTTGTTGCATGTAAACCACTTCTCTTTTAAATTTTGCTTTTCTTGTTTGTGGTGTACACAACACATTCATTTGGGGTTAGGAGATGGGTGTGCATGTTGCTGCCACTTACTGGTTGTGTGACTTTGGTCAAATAACTTTTGAGTTTGATTTCTTATCTAAAATAGGGATGCCGCCATCTTCATAGCATTCAGAGGTTCTAATAACTTAATATCTATAAAAGTACTTAATATAGACCACTATAGAAATTATCATACTATGTTGGTTCTCTTCTGACCATTATGCCTTTTTTATTATAGTCATTTGGTATGATTCAAGACGTGATTTTCTGCCTGTCTCCCATTACATCTCCTTTCAAATAATTCAGTCTCATGACTTTAATGACCAACTTCTAAATCTTTCATCATTTCTTTCTTCTTACTAAAACAATGCTACTATCATAGGTTGTGATGATGATTAAATAAATGCAGGCAACTTAGTAAATAATACATACTCAATAGAGGCTGTTATTACATTTTTATGTGCTTCTTGGACATTTGCATTTATCTTCGAAATATGGATCATCTTTCCTTCCCAAACCGGCTTCCTTTCCCAGCTTCCTTGTTCTTACAAGTGATAACCACTATTCCCCAGTCTGTCAAGCCTGAAAAATGGAGTCTTCTGACCTTTTTGCTTTTCATCATCTTCCTTACTAGTCTATAAATTCTACAGATATTTCTTAAAAGACATTCCTTCCACCTATTCCTTTTGCTCCTAATTGGCTCTCCTTCCTTAGTGCTGGTTACAACTCATGCTTGGATTAGTGCAATTTGTAGGCTGGTTTCCATGTGGGCCAGCCTTCCTATTGTTGCACATTCTTTTTTTTTTTTTTTTTTGCACAGTACGCGGGCCTCTCACTGTTGTGGCCTCTCCCGTTGCAGAGCACAGGCTCCGGACGCCCAGGCTTAGCAGCCATGGCTCACGGGCCCAGCCACTCCGCGGCATGTGGGATCTTCCTGGACCAGGACACGAACCCGTGTCCCCTGCATCGGCAGGCGGACTCTCAACCACTGCGCCACCAGGGAAGCCCTGCTGCACATTTTTAAAGCCACTCTCATGTCCCTCTTGTGAAAGTCAATAGTTTCCCGTTTCCTAGTCTAAATCAACTTTTAGGACCCTGTATAATCTAGCCCTATTCTAGCTATGCAATTTTTCTCATTCCTAACCCTCTTCTTCCCATCTTTCCACTGTCTTATGAACGTAATATATTTGTTTACTAATCTTTTGTCTTTACCTTTGTTTCCTTTCTATCCCAATCTCATTCATAATTTAAGGTGAAGTTCAAATATGTGGTTTGTCTCCTTTGGTGAACTTATAAAACCTGTTTCAGAAGTTGTAGATTGTGATTATTTCCTGTCACAGGTGTAACAAGTATTTTGTCTTTCCAAATGAATCCTACTTGAGGGTAAGATCCTGGTCTTTTTATTTTTACTGTGGTCCCTACAGTCCAACACCTCAGCACAAAGTAGGTGCTTACTATGTACTTACTAACCAAATTCTCATCCATGGCCTGTCATTTTAGTGGGCCAATACTCCTAAGTACTTTCACCAGCAAGAGACACCTAAATTAATTCTTTTATGTTAGGAATTCTGATAAAAAATTGGGGGAAAACTTTAAGCATGAGATTAAAGTATTTTTAAATTATAAATAATTTAAAATTATACATAATTTTATGTACTACTAGTTACAGCAACAATTACCTTTTATGCAAGTTCTTAAATTATAGATCAATAATATTTTCAATAGCTCACTACTTTTGAGGCACTTATAACAGCTTCTACAGATAAATAGGACACATTAATGAAAATGACAGTGGAAGCAAATCTTATTTTCAAAATTGTTATCTAGTGTTACCTTGTCACAAACTCTAGTCCATAGAAAAGAACTGCAATCAGTTTTATTTGAATTGGTCTTCAGTGTCATGAAAAAGATCTGAAGATCTTTGCTTGCAATATGTTAACGTAGGCTATATTAACATGATTGTTCATAATTTAGCAGATTGCCTCACAGTGCTGGAAGTCAGTTACCTCAGAAAACATTAGCTGAGTCAAATAAATTAAGATGTAATGTTGCAAGTATTTTTCTAAAAATTTAATAACTGGGGAAAGTCAATAATTATTTGTTGAATAATTTTTAAATGTTCAAATTAATTATGCTAGGATAGTTGTATTACCTAACTCATTTTATTTTTCACTGATGTTATTAGACCCTATAACAAAGAATTTTAACAAGCACACCTCCCCAAAATAGAGGAACTTAGCTACATGTTTAATTACACAGAGATAAAAAAAAGTTATTGTTGAGAAAAAAATAAACAAAATTGATTATCCATTTAATACTGTATTGTGCAAAAGGGTTTATTTTTGAGGATAATGGTATTCACAGATTTTCTCATTTCCTCAAACATCACATAATGCATTTCTTCCCAGTTATGAGAAGCTCATTATAGACAACTCTTTCATCTTAAATTCTGCTAAGTAAATGCTATTAAATATTTTTTGTGTCAAGTTATAGAAAATAGCATTTAATTTACATGCTTTTAAAAAATTATTAAAGCAAAAATAATTTTAAAAGAGCTCTTTTGAGGGAACATTCTCTCCTGTCTACTTTCATAGAAAGCAAAATCTACTGTAAAACTAAGTGAATAAAGTAAACCTACCTTTATTTGACTTAACTGATAGTTAAAAATGAAATTCATAATGAGAAATACTTTCTCAAATAATTGAGGTAACACATGATAAAACCATGGTTCAAAAAATTCTAGCTCAATTATTTAAATGTAAAATCTAATGCAAAATGAGGCAAGGAAGGCACTGTGACCATGACAAGAGTGTACTAATGACATTCTCTTCTCATAAAGCCACTGGAAAAATTTGCATGTGCATTTGAGGAAAAAGATACAACTCACTGGCCCATTGTTGAGTAACAGAATCCTCCTAGTTTGAGTACTGTGACATATTTGATAATTTTACAATTAACATTTGGTGCTTCGGATTGCTACAGTAGAATGGAACTATGCATAGTTTTTCTTGTAAGTTCCAATGTCACATGGCCTTGGTTATTTCAGAACTAATAAATCCTTTAGTTTTAGAAACATTTTCACTGATTGTACTTTTTCTATGGCAATGTATAATTGGCAACTCACCATTTACTTAAATGGTAGGGCTATTTATTTCTCCAGAAAAATCTTTATTCTACATTTTATGATTTTTTTTTTCCACACAGAAGGATCTTAATACTTTGCTTCAGTGAAAACCCATCTCAATCTACAGTTACACATAGCCAGAAAGACCTGCACTTAAAAAAAAAGTATATGAGAATTACAGAAAAAATTTATTTGTATTTATTGATAGTTTAAAGAAATGATTTTTCATAATTATATCAGACATAAAATGGTAATAAAATTTTAATTGCTTCAAAAGTATTATCTTGTGGTCAAGGTAATCTATTTAGAAATGTCAGATTAAAATTTTCTTCTAAATGTCTTTATTTTAGAATTGCTTTGATAACTCTGTGTTCTTTAGGTATTTTGTGTGTGTCTGTCTGTGTGATTGTACATGTGTATATTTTTATAAGATGAAGTCCCAGCAGTTAATAGGATTCTCCCATAATTAGTCTCACAAATAAATTATTAATGTCAAGCATCAAACTCTATAGTTTCAGAGATGGAGAATTAGCAAAACTACACTTAACGGTAAGTACATGCCATAGACAAGAGTTTATCTTTCTTGTCCTCTGCAATAAGTCAAAGCAGATGTGGTCTTTCAGTGTATCATTAGTCAAACTTTGTTACAGAAACACATCAGTTTGTCTTCGTGAAATCTTTTATCTAATATCATGTAAGTTAGATTAAGCACATTTGTTGAAATGTATACCTTAAAATAAAAAATAACCATGTGATTCTTTACATCTTTTCAGTTTGGTTCTATCTATCTGAGAGAGAAGACTGAAACATCACTCCAGTGCTCTCCACAACTGGTATGTCTGTTTCTTTACTTAGCACTTCTTATCGTTTCTAACATAGTAAGATGTACTTATTTACTGTGTTAATTGTGTTTCCCAGCACCCCCCCTTCCCCACTTAGAATGTAAGATTCACAAAGGCAGGGGTTTTTGTCTTTTGGCTATTGGTGTATTCCAAGTGCCTAGAACAAAAACTGACACTTAGTAGTGCTCAAATATTCACTGAATAAAACAACGTGATTGATAGAAGATGAGGTCAGAGATGTGGATGGGGGAACAGATCATCTTGTAGGCCACTGTAATGACTCCAGCTCTGAATGCAATGAGGAGCCACTCTAGAATTTGGAGCAGAGGAGTGCCATAACCTGATACGTGTTTGAAAAGCTTCACTCTAGCTGCTGTGTTGAGGATGGGCTGTAGTAGGCAGGGTGGAAGAAAGGAGACGGATCTGGGTGAGGAACGATGAGGGCACAGATCAGGGTGACAGCCCTGGAAATGGTGAGGAGTGGCTGAATTCTGTATTACTCTGAAGGTAAAGCAAACAGTATTTCCCGATGTCTTGGACGCGGGTTGTGAGAAAAGAGAGGAATCAAGGTGGTTCTGATTTAAGCAACTGGAAGGACAGAGTTGTAATCAACTGATTTATGAAACATTATGGGAGCAGTGTGTTTGAAGGTAGGGTGAGGGAAGATTAGAGTTCAGTATTGAAGATACTCTATGTTTTGTCAGGCAGTCACTAAGATAAACCGAAGGCTGGTGCATCCGTGTGTGGCTCAGGCAATATTCTGGGCTGGAGACATAGATTAAAGGTTCATTTTGTATGAACGAGGCTTAAAGTGAATTCAGAGAAGAGGAAAGAGGCCTGAACACCCTTGCAGCTGAAAGGTCTTCTTTGAGAAGGAATGAATTTTATCACAGAAATAAAAAGAATATCAGGTTCTTCTCAGGTAATGAACACCCTGAAGGAGAAAAACATCATTATCAGGTGATGTTACCTTGTGAAGGATAGGTAAGAACAAGCAAATTATGAACATAATTTAAAGATAAAATTTATTCTCTGATGGTTTACTCATGCAAACTGCACATAAAAGAAAATAGTACAGTTTGGGTAACATTGCAAATATAAGGACTCAAAATGCTAGGTACAGAAGTAGTGTGACATCCTGAAAGTCAAAATGGAATTTGTGTTTATACAACTAATAATGACTTTTATTTGCTGAGTACAGACTGATTTACAATGAAAGTTTTGCTAACCTTGGTAATAAGCTCATTAACTGTTTACATGACTTCTTACATCTATGTAGTTTTATTTTACAGTTGCAAGAATTCCTGTTACCAAAGAACTTTTAACTTGCATAAATAATAAAATTTAAGGAAAATGCACTGAATGACCCAGGAGAGTGAAAAACAGAGGCTTTTCCTAATCCATCCAAACTACAATAAAAAACAGCCTTTGAGATATATTTTCATATTTTGTGCCTTTGAGATCAACTCCTTAGCATAACTATGGCAAAATCATGATTAGAAATTGATTACTGGAAAATTATAAAATCAGTTAAAAATAAAAAAATTTTAGAAGTAGGATTATCAACCCAAAATGGTATTTTTAATAAGCCAAACAATAAAATTCCTATTATCTTCATAATTAAAAGTCCTGAAATGTCATTTGTATAATCTGAACGTTTCCCAGTTTGGAACTTAGGCAAGTGGAATATTTCCTTGAATTACCAAGGATATTCCATACCGGTTTTTAAAATGTCAGTCTCATTAGGAGATGGCACTGAGACTTTAGCAAATAGTGTAGTATGGATGCAGAACAAACTACACAACTTATTATAAATGCATTACAGATATTTACATAATGGATCCTGCTCGAATGCCAGAAGTTGCTACTGGGGAGGACTCATAACTATTTTACAAAGTTTTCTTACACACGTCTACTACATTTTTATTTTTTAACAGTTTTGTCTATTTTAAAATATTGTACTGTATTTTGAACATAACTGCAGAATAAAAATAGATAATGGCACATTAGAAAACTCAGTATCCCACAGATGACTGGATAATGAGAAAAGTGTACCTACAATCATCTCATCAGAAACAAACTACATCATGGAATGTTAGTTATCCAAGCCTGCACAGTAATGACATCTTAAATTGCAATCATCTATTGGCCAGCATCACACTGAAGGCATCGTTAAACATTCCAGCAAAGATTGCTGGCATGAACTATTGAAAGACACACACACACACGCACACACACACGCCACACACACACACACACACACACACACACTCTCACTCACTCACTCGTTTCCCATATTATAATTACATTGTTCTAAAGATAGATACTGATTTTTTTCCCACGAGAAACGTTATCAAAATTTGCTACTAAAAGATGACAGTGCTTTCACAAGAATAAGTACAAGTTAACTTGCAAGTACAAGACAATGGGGGTAAACAGTCTTAAATTTTCTAAGTAGTAATTTTTAGGCTTTTCTGGCAACCATACCTTACTTGATTATGCATAAACTTCTCAGTTTGAAACCTGAAATCTGCAAAACAAAACAAAACAAAACAAAACAAAAAACTAATTTCAAAAAATTATTAGATATCTGATAACCCTGTATTGTACATTATATAATTTCATATTTTGTTAGTCTCAAAACATAGGGTTTAAAATACTGAATTTAAGCCTTAAAAAAGTCATTTTTGAAATGATAAAGGATTCCAAAATTCATGCCTACTTAAAATCTTAAAAAAAAAGGAAACGCACTGTTACTGATCTTCATTTAGTTTAAGTGTGCATAAAAGCACTGTATGTCTTTTACCATGTTTCACTCACTTAAAAAGTGTTCGATAATGTTCTTCCTTTTGCATAATGTGCAAAATAAAAGGCAAAAAGATTAAAAGCAAATTTCTATATTTTTCTTGCTAGTGCTTTATGACCTTGTTAACACTACAAAGTCAATAGGGACTATGCAGAACTTTGGTATAAATGATATAACAATACTACCATCACAGTTGAGGGTTAAGAGGTGGTCAAAAGAAATGGAAGTGGGAAGAGAGATTCAGTAACACCCCCATTTATTAAAACACCACAAAATTAAAAGTGAAATAAACCACAATGAATTATAATACAATTTACACATTGAGCACAGAAAAATGAATAAATCTAACAATATTTATAAAAAAAGCAAAATCAGTCTTTTTCCAGAGACTAAAAACTGTTGTTGTTCAGTCTGATCATCAACTGCTGCTACACCAACTTTAGAGCCAAATTTAATTTCAAGTAAAAAAAAAAATTTACAACCACAGACTTCGCATAAATGGAAATTGGTCTTTCCTTGATTTCCCTTTGAAGTCACTAATGAGTATCTAAAACTGCTGCACTGAGGTTTTTAATCAACTTCCTGAGGGCTGTGACTGGGAGGAAGGAGCCATGACAATCTGTGAAAGCGCAGGCTCTGAACTCTGGTCCGCCATCTGCGTGAGGACTGAAGTGGCTACAGCTTCTGCCTTGGAAGTTGAACTGACTCCATTGGATGTGCTGACAGAACTATGCTGTATAGCTTCAGTATGTGGACTACTCGGCACTGACAGGTCTTCTGAACTATCATCTTTATCAGCAGCTGAGTGGAAAAAAGGAAACTACTCAGTTTCTTAAAATAGTTGTAAGAATTTATCAGGTTGAGTCAATGCACAGAATAAAAAGTTAGATGGCATTTTACAGAATCAGTTTAGAGAAGTTGGCATGACTGGAATTGAGTAACTGAAAGGTGGCTAGAAGTCATGAAGTAGGCAATTTTGTCTGTACAGGCTAAACAAGGCACAAGCATGCACATGGAAACACCTCAATGCCCAGTGCCACATAAAAGAGAGCTGAAGAATTATTTGCTAAATAGTGTTAAGGAAGAAAATTGGGTGGGAATTTGGGAGCTAGGTCTCTTATAGATATAATCAAACACTTACCCCAGCAACACATTTAACAAAACCAGTCTGTTTGCCTACACGCCATTCTTATTAAAAGATTAAAAAATTTATAACCATATGCATAAACAAAATGAATGCTAACATACAAATTATATCTTCAAATAATTCCCTCTGCAGAACTATTTTTATTCTGGCTGACTTTCCATCTAAGGCAGCAATGGATGATTATAACACCTGATTCTAATGATGCATACACTTGAGAATAAGCAATATTTAGAATCTAAATGCCACCAGCTGTTATAGTTGCATGAATTAATTGAGATTCAAATAAAAATCCATATAAAACTCAAGATACTGTAATTGAAAAGATATTCAGGAAAGGGCATTCTAAATATTAATGAAAATATATCTACCATTGTTTAGGCTTTAATAACAAATCTTCAACTTTCTTATTAATCCAATAATTTCATTTAGTGAAAAATCTGATAAGTACAACACACACAAATAATTATAGTGTACGCAAGTTATGAGACACAATGATAGCATGAACACCTGTGAACCCAGCCCCCAACTTAAAGAGAAAATTGCTAGTAACACTCGTGCTTCTTGGAGGCTCCTCTCTTCACCAAAGGCAATCACCATTCTGATAAGTATTTCTTTTACCATTCCCTTGTTTTTTCTTTGAAGTTTTACCAAATAGGTATATATCCCTAAACAGTACTGTTTAGCTTTGTTTCTTTCTGAACACTCTAAAATAATTTTTATTTAGTGTTTAGAAGTATAATAAGCTGGCTTCCTATCAAATCTGACAATACATACTGGCCTGCTTACTGATGGCCAGGTGCTCATTCTGAAAGTCAACTATTAAAAAGACTGTGGACCCCATGAAGTAGGACTTACCCCATGATTTGTAATGTAGAAGATAGAGGGGGAGGAATCTGGCAAGTACAACTCTAGTTCAAATAAAATTCTTCATTTTGAGGGTTTTCTGAAATATAGTAGCTCTTACAGAATTTTAATGTGATAGAATCTCACCCTCTCTATAACTCCGCTTTAAATGCAAAACTACACCACTGGATAAAA